AAATAGAATATTTGTGATCCAAAGTGATTTTACCTTGGTATAAATACACACATATAAAAATACATACATATACGCTCATAATCTTAATACAGATCCGCATTTTTGTGTTTCATATACGTATATATTAAGTTTTATATCTTGAAGCTAGACATATAACCTTTGCACATTTACTGTTGTGAGTAATAAAACAAAGAAAAGGATTGTGGAAATGAACCAAACCTCGTTCGGTACACGTTATCAGATCATGAAATTTCGAGTAGTATCTATGAATTATTCTTCGATCAGTTCTCCATGATATTGTAAATTCATCGTTAATTCATTTTGTGAAAATTCTAATTATATTCACCGATGTAATTTGTAAAGTGTTCTCCGTATGTGGGAACCTTTACTGGTTGTTTCTAGCTTCTTGTTTTCCAATTAAACAATAAATAGAAGTATAATTTAAATATTATTTTATTAACATTATGGTATTCTTGATGAGGCATTAGATTCAATGCTTATATTAAAGACTACACTTTAATTACCCACACATACGTTGCCCTACCGAAAACAATTGGCAACCTGGATTGAATAACTGCTCATACGTTGCATATAATAACGTTCCCACGTTAATTACTATAGGTACCAAGTTTAATGTTTCTCGCTTACGTGAAATACTACAGTCTATCTATAATTAATTCTACGAGAGGTTATTGAAGATATTCTGAGATCTAGATGGCCCTTTCCTTATCATACATAGGTCGTTATGAACATAGAGGCAAAGAACGTCGTCTTTTTTGAACTAACAAGTTTCTCTGCTGATCACAAAAACTCCAAGACTCCTGCAACATGTTAATTTAACGTCATTAATTATACGAGAGGTTATTGAAGATATTCTGAGATCTAGATGGCCCTTTCCTTATCATACATAGGTCGTTATGAACTTAGAGGCAAAGAACGTCGTCTTTTTTGAACTAACAAGTTTCTCTGCTGATCACAAAAACTCCAAGACTCCTGCAATATGTTAATTTAACGTATTTTGATAATATGAGCTTTGAAAAGTACGGGTGTTTCTCAGAAATTGCTTGTGTGCTTAGTATCCCTCTCAGAACATAAACTCCCACCCGAAGCACAGGACCCATAATTGGGCTTCTAACGTTTCGTGAAATGAATTTCATCGTTTCCCAATGTTTGCCACCAACGTTTCAGTGTAGAAAGTGTTAGAAGGGGATTTAGTGTTAGATTACCTTCGTTTCGTCTACCCTACTTATGTCTATAAAGATCAACCTGTATACAGATGACTTTTCTCTTCGTGAATTTTATTCTAATATGGTTTCAGATAATCCTTACAAGAAACTTCTGACAACTTTTGTGTCCAAATGAATCGTCTTTTAATTTTATACGATCGAATTTTCGATCACCATTAAATTATATTGTGTACTGTAACAATGTAACGTGTCACGTTTTCAATTTGCTGTAGCTAATAATAGAATTCATGTAATTCAAGACAAGGTGTTATCTTGCACCAATTTCGACACTTTTAATCCCTGTATCTATCTCCAGTTTTATTCTCCCTGGTAAAGGAAATCCTTAGAGAGTGTCAGTATACTATTACTTAACATTTATAAACTGACCATTTCGCCTCTGTGTCGTTTAAGATTCTGTACATTTTACAAATATCAAATACCAAAAGAGGGTTTAATGTCTCCAAAATTATATTAAGTAATTAATGATTATTTTCAAAAGACAACCCGTAGCTCCTACCAACAAGTCAAATATTGCTAAAATGTCAATTTCAGAAAGCAACGAGGAAAAGATAGATAATATGGTGATTAAGTTTGATGGAAATGTATAATCACTCTTATGAAAATAACAAAAAAAATGATACAACTTAATGGTAATATTTACTATTAGTTTTAAATCATTAACTAGATGTGTTGCAGTCATTTGTACCAACTCTTAATTAATACTGCTATATTAACTGATTAGTGCATATAAAAGTGGACTTTTATCGAGAACGCTGTTTCTGGCGTTTGTACAGCATACTTCTGTTCTAAACTTCTCTTCGTATGTATAATCAACTTTGAGTTTCATTCTGAAATATTAGTTATTTTCGATAATCTTACTTTAAAATTAATTTAGATTAATTAATTAATTTTCTAGGGCTTTATTTACGACACAATGAATGAGTTTGCTAATACCAAACATTTCATTCAGTTAATTTGTTTTGGTCATTAAGAAGAATCATACAGACTAAAAGTTTTGAAGTGATGACAGTTAAAGACATGCCACCTAAACAGTCTTTCCACTCTGCTTGTCTCATACATAAAAGGAATTCCTTCGTAGGATACTTGAATTGGATGCAATAAATTTCACTAAATCATCAAACTTTCAAACAGGTAAGATTGTTTTACAACTCAAGCTTCAGCCATAGAACTAGAAAAAATATACGTAATCAAAAGAAACAGAAAATAACTTAAGAAATAAAATCAGTAAAGTGATAGTTTAAAGATGAACAACGTGCAAACAAAGCTCCAGGAAATAGTATTTTTTTTTATCATAGTGTCCAGTCTTCGTGAAAGAGTTCAATTTAATCCCACAAGTTGAAATATTAAAACACCAAACTTAATAACGCCATGGCTTTCTATGTTTGTCAAGAATATAAACTTCCAAAAAAACCGAAACTAATAATCAGGCCGTTGTGGCTTATTTTCATAAAGTATGAATATTAAAATTATTCCTAATGATGTGATAATTGGGAACGCAGTCGAAATGCAGTGTATAATGATCATGATATCCATGTATTACGACAATATATATATTGCACAAAATAATTAAAGGAAAAAATTGGATTTTTCTCTTACATTCCAGCTAAATAACGTTAATGGCTTTCTTAAGTTACTTTTTATGCAAAATAGGTATCAGATAATAGGTCATGCGATCTAATATGCAAATGTATACTATTGTAATCCACAGTCAGAAATTATACTAAAGACCCTGAAGCACAATAAATTATCAGAAAGGATATGTTGTCAAGGCCTATGATAACCTCTTATACAAATGTAAGAGACATGCTTAAAATGAGTTAATCAATGAGTTGCTGGAGTAATATGGCCCACTCCTCCACCATAGCGGCTTCCAATTATCAAGACGTCCTTCCAGAGCATCTCGTACAATTTCAATCAAATTCAGATTAGATGAGCGTGTTGGGTAATTCATTTGTTTGATACTTTCCGCTTTCGGGAAGTTGTTAATCAGCTAAGCCAGGTGGAGCTATCATCCTTTCGATGAAATCTCTGACTAACTGCTTCTGTGTATAGCAACACCAATGGTTGTAAGAATGCATCTCTATATCATATGGTGTCGTGTCGGTGTGACTATCATTATTGATCCCTGCTCTGATTTAGTATTCTCTTCTTCCAAGAAGTTGTTATTCAACTGAGCATGGGGGGGGGCACAAATTTTCATTACTGGAAGAAAGTTCTTACCAACAGCTTCTGCATGGAGTAAAACTAAAGGATATAAAACTACGTATTTATACCGTATGACATTCATAACACATAAAGGTCATTGGGATCCACTAATACCAATCCCTGCACATATTAGTATGCTACTACAATCATATGAGGTGCACACACACACACACACACACACACTTATGATATATGACAATGTGCCTTTTCAGTATCACAGGTCTATATTAATTATATAAACTGCACGATTGCATGCATTTCTAAATTTAAATAAGATACATTATGAAAGTATATTTAAGGAACATGAATGTTAATTATACATTTTCCGATTTCGTAAAATTTACATTTCAACGTTAACAAAATCCGTTAAATTATTATATTGTTATAAAACTGTTGTCCTGATACTGAGAATCCCTGTTCTCGCCGACTTATTGATTTCTACCTCATAAAGTTTGTTACGTATTAGGATTTTAAATAATCTGAAACCGAGCTAAATGATACTTTAAATATAGTAGTTAAATTGTCCTTTGTACAGTAAAGTAAAAGCCAATATATAGTCAGTCTTGCCAACGAGATTGATACACATGGTTTTCTTTTTTAACAGAAATACGTTTGAATATACACACAACAATACAATTTACAATAACAGTTATTACAAATAGATATTACAAACAGTTATTTATAAACACATGTTTCACAAACTTACAAGCAATATAAAGTCTTCTTTCTAGTCTAGAACTTCTTCGATATCTTATTGAAGGTTCATGATGAGGGAGTTGATTATGAGTTGACGTAGGTATACTTCACTTAACAGGGAGCTAGCTAGCTTTGTCCTTCGTTATTTACCAGGCTGATCACACGCCAATTTTTCCACCGGTTACGTTAGATAATGTTTTCATAAAAATACTAATGTCTTATGAGAATCCACTGAAGTTAAATAATTTGTAATGTTCGAAATTTGTAAAGGTTCCTGGTCAAATATCTGAAGTTTTCCGATTGATAAGCGTTATAACAATCACAGTTATAGCTTCCGAAGTTTACAGCACACTGACTATAGCAAACTAATAATAGATACCCCTTTTTGGCGCGTCGCGTTGGTTATATTTATAGGCGTGTGGAAGCTTTCTCTGATTTTCAGCTTTATGTAACAAGACTGGCATTAACACTAGCGTTTGCGTACATATATACATACATACGAGAATCTTCTACAACTTTGGAGAATAGGCGAGAGTTTCGCAATACATATTTAACAGCATAAGCTATGTATGTTTCTAAATATAGATTTAATCTAAACAGCGTCGATATTAAAATAAATATATGATAACAAATTCGTTACAAGTTGTCCAAATGTTTTCTCTAGAACTCTCGCATGTTTCACTGTCAAAACTAAGATTGATAACAAGCTGTCAACTCATGAATGTAGCAGGTCCTCCACGAAACACATTTTCTTTATTGGACTATCTGCTGTGTTCACCGCGGGGAATCTAATTCTTGATTTTGACGTTGTCAGTCCGTAGACTTACCACTGTTCCAACGGAAGACACCACGGTACACAAATGACTTTAGGTATCCCCAAAGCCAAAAGTTGAGTTGACCATCTGACAATATGAAGTCATGTTGGATACTGGACAATTTAATATTAGTTCAGTTTTCTGTCGCATGATTTCAATAATACATGGCATCAACCACACGAATTGTGGTTTCACTGAACAGACATAGCGCCATCTGATAATTATTTTCGATAACCATGGATTCGTTTTTCACATGATCCCATTGGTATATCTACCAAGTAGTATATCTCGTTGACAAATAGTGTTAATTCTATTGATGTTCAAATACTCCAAGAAACTTGATAAGAGCCCTGTAAAGGTGAAAGTATTATATAACTAGTTGCTTTCTTAAACATTTGAATTTAATAAGTTTAGTTTACTCTCATCCAGTTTTAAATAATTTGATGCCAGATGTTTATTGACAACAGAAACTCAAGCTGTATAGTGTTAAGTCTGAGCATAATGTCCTTGCAGAAGTTAACTTTTAAAACATCTTTCAAAAAACAGATCGTTATATTATTTTTCACTGGAAAGAATGATATGAAAATTGAAAAATGACTGAAATAACACTTCACATCCAGACTGCGAGTAGTTGAGACCGAATTCGGGTTACAGAGAAGTGCTACAATTTCCGATATTTAAGTTAGAACCAAAACAAATATACTCCGACAAAGGGTTTTATCTGTTAAGCTAAATAAAAGCACACTTTTCGAAAAGGAACTCACAACTCAATAGTTATCTTCGACGAAGCTGTGGAGTTTAGAGGATTGGTCGAACTGTGTTCCTCTTGCAAAATATAAAAGTGTTGATTTCAGACAGTTACCGCACTTAGCCACCTTACAGCAGCAAGTAAGATTTTTTGAGCCTTTATTGTCTATATCTGTCTACCGCTTTCCTGAAAACCGAGGAGAAAACAGCTTTAGAAAGCTGAACAGTCAGATCTTGTGTTGCGCAACATTGGCGGTCTAAATAGTGTTTTGAGCGGGATTTTTGACGACGTATGAGTTTTATTTCATCGTAGCTCGGAAACTAGTGCGAATGCGGTCCAACTTAGACAATTAAAAGTCTCCCAGACACATAGACTGACTTTCAAATAAATGATAAAACTAAATTTATTGGAGCGTCGTTGTCTGAAGTAAAATATCCTTAAAGTTTGAAAGAAACAGATTTACGTATTTTCAATGTAGTTATTTTTCTAACATTTATGAGAAAATAAAAAGAGAAAATTGATATTAGTTTGTGATCAAAGCAAGTTACCTACTTAGATCAAAACTGAAACTTAACCTCGTGATAAGTATAGCTAATTAGATATACATCTCCAAGGTTCTTACTTACATAGACTAGAATGCAATGTTTCATAACTTTGGTACCCTCTCTGTTACCGATATGTTTGAAAAGCTTATTCATCAAAAAGTACTTGAAATTATAATATGCTATTTTGCCTCTTAAAAAAAAGGGAACCAACAGGTAAACTTCTCTGAATACAGTGTACTTTTCCTTGTTCGCTTATCAGCTCATTGAATATTAAACGGAATATTACCTCCTTTCTCTTCAAACCAATAACAGCCCCCAAGGTGTCGTCGGAAGATCACTTTTTTTTTCCTGTCCTCTCCAGACACGTGTTATCTTTTTAAATCCATTATCACTACATTGCTTTCGGGTTGAGTAAGTTGCCTAGGGTAAGTTGATGCTAAACTTTATATAGTAACTGACTGATTATTATTCAAAATTAAATAAAACCCTGGCCTGCAAATTTGCATTTAACAGTTTCGCTTCATTCTGAACGCATTGGTAATGAAATTTTTGAGATAGATAAATAGGCAGGTTTTTGTTTCATTGAAACGATCAATTTCTTCTGATTGAAAGACGGCTAGCTAGTTAGATGTAACTAACGAGAAGGATTCCATTATGCTTGTTCAGAAACCAACACCATAAAGAATACAAAAGGTTGGTAATTCTACTAACAAGTTCCAATGGTAATTACTGAATTAGTCTTTGAGAGTGTAACAGTTAATGCTTACTTACGTAGGTACAAAGCATATGTATTCAGTAAAATGTATCATTATGTAATGTTGAATATTTATCTAATTACAAGAATATTTGAAGGTTAGCATCAATCCATAAGTAAGCGAAATCCACCGATGCATTGTATAGTGTAAATGGAGAATGTA